TTCGATCCTGGCTAATGTTTTCATGCAAACTGTCATCTTCCTGTACCTCCTCGACAACTCTCAGAACACTAGCTGGATGATTTTGGGATCCCAGGTCGTTGGTATCGTCATTGAGTTCTGGAAGATCACCACTGTTGTCAACGTTCGCATTCGTCCTGGTGGACCAGGATCTTTCCTCCCTTACACTATCGCATTCGAGGATAAGCAAAAGTTGACCGAGACTGAAGAGAAGACCAAGGAGTACGACGAGATTGCTTTCAAGTACATGTACATTGCTGGCATTCCTCTGCTGATCGCATATGGCATTTACTCTCTCTACTATGATTCCCACAAGTCGTGGTACTCATACATCATTACTACTTTGGTGGGATCTGTCTACGCTTATGGTTTCTTGATGATGGTTCCCTCGTTGTACATCAACTACCGCCTGAAGAGTGTCGCCCATATGCCTGCCAAGGCCATGATGTACAAGTTTCTCAACACCTTCATCGACGATCTGTTTGCCTTTACCATCAAGATGCCTTTCTTGCACCGCTTGGCCACTCTTCGCGACGATGTTATTTTCTTCGTGTATATTTACCAACGATGGGCTTACCGCACTGATTATAGCCGTGTCAACGAGTTTGGCCAGGGTGGAGAGGACGAGGCTGTTGACGACAAAGAGGCCAAGGAGAAGGCCAAGGACAAACTGATCGAGGATGTCAAGGCCGAAGCCAAGACCAGTAGCGCGGATACTGGCAAGGCCAAGAAGCGGAAGTGAGTTGCAGACGGACGGCAATAAGAGCCGAAGAAAGGCCCTTGGGTTTAGACTGTCGGGTTTACTTCGCAGTCATAACTTTGATATCTACGTTGTAGTTCTAGTCCGCCATTTTAGTTGAATAATCAGATACATAGGAATGAATACCATCTGTTTACAACGAATGATCCTTCAGGACTCGTGTAATGAAACAATATGATTCATATGAGGTAAGTCATCGTGATTACATTCATCCATGGCACAATCTTTGACAATCTGATGATAAGCTTTCCTTGGCTCGAGTTTGCTGATGGACTACAACTTTGGTGTATGCCTCCTGATTCGTAGCCCTACGAATATACGAGGACAGTGGAATACATAGTACCCCCGGTCTCTAGTTCGGGACACCCGACAGGACGTTGCAATTTATGACCCACTAACGGGCGTCATAGCGGGTGAGTTACAGGGACTTCAGTGCTGTTCCTTATTCCGTCATTTTGCGGAGGAGCTCACCTCAGCTTTTTGATTCAGCGCGTGTGTCACTGGAAGCTGACTGTTTCAGACTTGGGGGGTCTAGTGGCCAGTACGCACCTCAGTGTCCACGATTCGTACAAACATAACCCACCTACCTACCTTGGGTAGGTAGTCACACCTCAGCAGCTAGAGACAACTCTCTTTTTAACCATATTTCTCTCCTTCTACATCCCCCGAAACTCTTCAATAGACGGTCTGAAGAATCAATCCTTGGAACCCCCAGTATTTTTGCCTGCACAGCCTCGTCTTCACGAGGGTCACTTTGACAATAACGGAAAGGACCTGAACAGAAGTGCTGCAAACATTACGTACCTACCAATTGCTCAGCCTCATGCCTTCGGTTGCTTGGTTACCTACCTACATGAATACAGCCAAGTAAATAAATAGCACAGCCGAACGCTCCCGTCCTGTGCGCCCTGTCTTGGAGCTCTTGTCACCTCTATCGTCACGTCAAGCTTCCTTCAATAACCTCCCGTTCTCTCGAGCCGGGGGAGTCCGGTTCGAGCCGACGAAACCTCATGCGCCGCCCCCAATCGCATCAGTCCCTCGCCCCGCGACGACGCCGGTGATTGACATCTCTCTACTACTTCGAACCCATTGCTTTTTCTCCTACGAATTGCGCTCTTCCACGAGACTTTGGACTTACGCTATCCTCCCTCGACGCAACCCCGCGCCCTCTCAATACTTGGGAGAATTCGCAACCCTTATCCTCGACACCGAATCATGAGCAGCTCTGACTCAGTCGGGTCATTGCTTGCGGCCATTGCGACTCTTTTATCCCAGGGACTGCGAATCCTCAGTTTGGCCGACAAGAGCCATTGGGGACCGGACGAGCACGAGCAAGTACACGCCTTTGCTTCAGCGTTGGACGACGCCAAAAAGGACTTTCAAGAATTGGCACCTTTGGTTAATGGACAGATATACTACGAAACCGACCGAAAACGTACGTGTTCTCGGACGCAGGCATTCCCGTTGACTTCGGGCTTCTGCAAAGTTCAGTGATGGATCTGTTTACTGACTTATTGGCCAGATGAATCCGTCGAAGAGTTGAGAGCTCTCAAAGCTCAATTTACAGCGCATATAGAACAGATACGAGATTGGAGTCGCTCAGGTGGCCCAATCAACCCAATATGGGTCCGCGAAACACATACTTTACAGCGAAAATTACACAGAGCACAGTGTCGAGCAGCACGTCGAATTTATAGCTCGGAAAAAGAAGGGTCGGCAAGGTGTTTGGGAGCTTTCCTCGTCTACCGACAACAGCGACAATGGACGTTAAATAAGACCGTGCCAGACGAGGCCGAGTATTCGAGAAGATATCGGGAGGAGCTACGCTTATGCAATACTATTGGGTCGTTTAAGCGATTTGGCGATCGAGATATTGCTTTCGTTTGCGACTATTGCGATGGTCACATAGTATGGGAGGATATTGAGCATATGCCCTCGATACGGACGTTCCAAGAAGCCGCCGCGTCTCCAATATTGACACTATCACCAACAATCGATAACCCTCACTGGCAAGCAACAGCGTTCACATTGTCTGGACATCAAGAGAAGCAGGTTGTATTTGCGCCCGTAGCCATCGCAAACCATATGGCACCACAGCCTCGGGATTGGCAGGCCGGCTTACTGTGTCCATATTGCGAGGTGGAATCCACAGAACCGCAAGAGCAGTATGATGACGAGGATGCATATCGACCAGATCTGGGCTACGAAGACATGGAGGCGTTTCAGGAACATCTTGAATGGCAACATACAGTTACGGCGCCAACATCTCAAGCACAGGCGGCTTCAGATAATTGCATAGTGATGTAGTTGAGAGTAAGCCGTCGGTTTTGGAACTTGTTAACAAAAATATGGTGTTTTCTTGATGATTTTGGGTAGAGCAGATGGCATCTGGAGTTTGGAGTCTTATATGGTACGACCTAGGTGAGACAGCATGGTTTAGGAGCAGCATTAAGGTTATGATTTAGCAAGAACTGCCAAAGCCAGCGTGGATAGACGAATTGACTTGATCATAAATGGTCATATAAGTACACAACCCAGCAGCACCCTCGGCTGCCATAAGGACACTGCTTGGGTTCCATATACCCCTGAAATGTTGAATCGTAACTCTCAAATGGCACACTCCCAGAGTAAAGTACAAGTGGCCGGACTTAGGTATTAGATGTATAAACAGAAACAGCTCGCTTGCATTTCTTAAAAGAACCGCCAATACAGGAAAAAGATGATGATGAACCCAAGAGCCGCGAAGGGTCCGTACTGCTTAAGAAGCAGTTCCCAGTTGATTCGCACCGCGGCCCTACGATACTTTTTGCTATCATCACGCAGCCTTGAGCTGATCTCTCCCATGCGCTCCAGACTATCTCCACGGTAGAGTAAATCCTCAATGTTCTTGGTCATTACCTTTGTCACATCGCGCAGCTCATCATTGAGTTTATCGAGGTTGGCCGAGGCTCGAGAATCAGCGTAGGTGGTCTTTGTCTTGGAGATGAAGGTGTCAAATTCCATGAAGGCGTAGGGTCGCAGAGCTGGCGAGTGGACCTGAGATGCTGGGTAGGTGGTTGTGAACTCGCGAGCGAGATCGGCTAGGTAGGTAAAGGCGAGCTTTCGAGGGTACGAGGGAGCGCAGATGGCGAGGAAGACGATGTCCGAGTCGATGAGGTAGTGCAACGTATGGTTGGGGGTCTCGATGGAGGCCTGGGACTCGGAGTTGCGTGTGAGCTTACGGAGGACCTGGCGCACGTTCTGCTTGGTCTCTGCGAGAGTGGACTCGGCCTGTTGAGAGGGTTCGTAAGCATCAAGTCGCGGCAAAGCTGAGTTGTGGAGAGTACCTGTTCATCGTCGACTGAGGCACAGAGCATGAGGCCTTGTAGTGTGTTAGTATATATACTTATGAGGTTGTAGATGATATAAACCCACCATCAAGCCTTGATATTTGCGTAGAGGAGATCATTGCAGTGGGTTGTGGTTAAAGTGTTGGGTAGTAAGGGAAAGTTGCGCCGGGTTAGAAGTGTTTTGTTTCTTTGGCTTGAAGACTTTCAGCTTCCACTACGTGTCAAGAAAGACGGGCGACAGAGGGATGACGTCGAAGGGGCACGAAGCTGAGCGACGCCAAGAATGGTCAAATGCTATTTTGGCGATCGATTTGAGTCTCTCATGAGAGATTCTCTCAGCTTTTGGCTTGCAATATTGTAGTACGATCGTTTTGGCTGTTGGAGGATCTGTATGTATGATCGATGGTCAGTGGAGTTGTAGCTGGCGCATTGCAGAGGGAGCTCCGTGCTGATAAGATAACGAACCAACTTTGTCATTCCAGTTCAAGATGGTAGGTAGGTAGGTAATTTGTGACGGAAATATTCTTGTGCTTCATCAAGAAATACTTATTTTGAGTATTTTTAAAGAAACTCTATTCTTGCTCGTTGTGTCAAAAACCCCTGCTATCAATCCGTAATTGATAGGTTGAGGAATCTGTAAACACCAAAGTCTAACATCATGACTCTCAAAGGGGTATAATAAAACTTAGGACTTCTATTCTAGGTGACAAAAAGCCTTAGGTAAACTTAGGTAAACTTAGTGTAATTTAGTAGAGATATAGAGGATCTTAGACTAAGTTTTTTTGACACCTTAGTCTAACGTCAGAAGTCTTCTTACACCCTGAGGCTCTACAGTAGCAAAGGTCAAAGGTCATAATGCGTCAATTCTATACGGCAGAAGTCGTTTCTCGTCTCTATATCTCATCCTCCTCATCATCAAAGTCATCCTCTCTACCCATTTCGTAAAGGATTCTTCCACCTTCTCCTGCACCAATGTCCGTTTGCGCATCAAAATATGGCAACACGATACCCTCTCGATCCTTTCGTTGCTTCTCTGTGAGCCCCAGATTGAATGTACTCTCAGGTTCCTCCTCTCCTTCGCCGGTCTCTCCACTGTCCGTTGGCGCTGCGAACATTGGGTGGTCTGTAAGCAAGCATACCTTGCTGGGTTGAGGCGCTGTAACCAATCCCTTGGAGCTGAGAATAAACTTTTCTGAAACAGTTCTTCCACTTCGCCGTCGTAGTTCCATATTAATAACAACCCCATTGCTATCCTCGTTCCGGTCTCTGCCCTTCTCTCCAAGACCGACGAGTACCCCCTCACGATCTTCGTTCAGACCCCACTCTGGCTCCTGAATGCTCCTGTTTCGAGCCTTCTGACGCTCAATCTCTTGGTAAAGACTGGATAGCCTCAGGATAGCAGTAGCGAGGTGGCATAGTACAGTGAAAGGATGGGGTTCATACTCGCTGAACGACCTTGGTAGTACTATGGGTACATCATCATGGTACGTGGCAACGATAGAGACAGCTGGCGTGATGATGCTCGAGAGAAAGCTTGCCAGGGACTGAGGAGCGGCAGAGGCTAAGGCGTTAAGTGACTCGACAATCACAACCGCCCCTTGAGATAGTTAGTAACGTGATGGCCCCCTCAGATCATGACTCTGCTGGGCTTACTTTGAGTGGGCTTTCCCTTGTCCAAAAGAGGGTTGAAAGCAGGATAATGATTCAACAAGTCTTTGCGCACAGTCTGGAGATCTCTTCCCGCAGCTTTTATGAAAACATCTGCATCTTGTGGTTTCTTCAGCGTTACAAGCGACAGGAAGATAACCTGTGTCTTAGCAATCTGGATTTTCCAAGTTAGTCATACTGGCTCTCATGTTTTTAGGGGAGTTTTAATGCCTTTGCTCTCGACACAAATTCGTTAAGGACTGGTCGCGCAGGTTGTTCGAGATTGTCTATCACGAGAGTAAGAGGACTTGCGCCGTCACGAAGGTTGAGGAGTTTCTGTAAGAGCAGCAGACTGTGCGATCGAGCATGGACATTCGAGGTCGGTGCCATCGTCGGGTATGTCAGGGCACGCCTGGGGCCTGTACAAGCGATATATCGATGGTTTGTGGTCGCGGTAAAGAATAAGGTCAGCTTGTACGTTCTGTTAAAACAGCGAATATATCTTTTTTGAGGCTGAGAAGAAGAAATATTCTAGGTAGTCAGCGCCTAGCTCTTGTTTGTGGTGGGTGTTGCTAAAATTCAGTGGGTCGTCCGTCTATCTACCACTCCTCAGGGAGCAACAAGGTATCAAACTTTGACATAGGATATCAAAATAGGCTCAGCAAAAGGTATCCTACAGATATCCTAAATTTATGCTAAGTTGTCTAGGTCTTTTTGTCACTTAGGACCAATGTCCTGGGTTTTCTTTCCTCCCCTAGCCACTCCATCTCCCGCTTTCATGATGGACGCTACTAAGGTACGCAGGACTTGCTTAGAAGGACCACCATTTCATGACCTCAGTTCATGGAGATATCATGTTCAAGTGTAGAAACCGAACTAGTAGGCAGCAAGTGCTCTCTGATGCCGAATGCTCATCATACATCAAGTGAGAAGAACAGTTGATTTATGCAGAAAGAGAGTATAGAGAAATTACGATGCAATTTATCCCATGCGGAAATACAGTGTATTTTAGGTATTTAGGACTGTGTCGCCTATTGTGACGCCAGGTCCAACCTTAGAGAGCCAAATGCGCATACACGCCTTAGTCTATAGGAACTCAAGAAAGCCATGATTATAAAGTCAAAATAAAAGTAAACCTCCCGTGTCAAATTGCGGTGTAGTTCTATCGTGGATGAATAATAACGCCCCAATCTCATTGCTTCGCTCTTGAACCCGCAGATTCTATCCTCAAGCAAGCTCATCCCTTGTATCATCACCATCAATCTCCATCATGGAGCTTTTTCGATGTGCAATGGCCACAGCTATAGGTCCCTCATGCGCCGGGTCACATCTTTGAAGTTCGTCAACCTCGAGGTCAATGTCGGGGTCATCTCTCTTCTCTGCAGTGCTGTTCTTCGTATCGACGTCCTCTTTCTTGTCGCTTTCATTCTTCACTGTCTCGGTGTCCTCCATTGTGACATCGCCTGCCTCCTTTGACACGGCGCCAGGTCCTCGCTTTGTCTTGAGCTCTGGTGGTAGCTCGACATCCCATTCATCTCTGAACCTGTTGTCGAGAAATGCGTCGAAATCACCCATCTTGCGTCTCTCATGAGCTGCCCAAGCATGCGCTAGCCATTCGGGATCATGCCGGCCTTGGGCGATGTTTTCTGTGTAAGCAGCACAATCGTAGCGGAAACTGTCATCGTTCATGAGTGATGCGAAATCAGGACAGGCATCCTCCGTGCCGGGATTAAGAATGTGCTGGGAATCAGGGAACAGTGCCAGGATTTCTGCCTTCTCTTCTTTGTCAAGAATATCCCAGGTCATCGGATTCGACAGTATGCTCTGCTTTCGTTAGCGATCTTCCCAAGCTATAAGAGACGTAGTGCCTTACTCTGAGATCAGCTGAAGCTAGGGGTGACTTAGGATCCGTCAGAATGTTATCCGCGTTCCACTTCGACTTTTTTGGTGCTTTTTTCACGAGTAGCCTCCGCTTGCCTTTGACCGCCTTCTTAGAGGTCGCCGCTGGGGTATTTTCTCGGCCATTGAGCGAGGTCGAAGGCGAAGGCGAAGGCGAATCCGGCGGCTGATCTGCCATGGTCGGGATACCATGATCCTCATGGTCAAGGGCTGAGGAGAGGGGAGACGATGGCAGTGCGTTCTTTTGTGCTTCACTTGATTTATCTTCATCGATGCTGACAGTTATAGTTTCTTCGAGTTTGTCGGCCATAGTTGTGAAACGGCAAAGATGATAAGTTACAGCACAAGCTGAGCTGAAAAGGGCAATGCTGGAGACAAGACTTGTACTTGCCGCTGGTCTATGAATTTAGCAGAATCACAAAAGCTCCACGAGTATAAAAATTGGAAGAAGAGAGAAAATTGATTTGAAACTCCTTCAAGTTGCCTCTTGATGGTGGCCTTGAAAAAGATTCAAAGGGAAGCGAGAGTAGATGTCTAGGGTAAGCCACTCTCAGCAGCTCCTGCGCTTTTGTGATCCTCTGCAGCTGACAAAGGCCATGACTGTTAGTTACACCAAAGCCATTTGCTATCAAGTTTGTTGTTCATTTTTCCCCCTCTCTTTCATTTATCCAAAAGAATCTGGCCGTTGCCGAGATATTGGATTAACTTTATATAGCTCCGTTTTCGGCAGTCAATCGTCACATCAGCTCAAGACCCCCAAACTCTTGGGGTCAACCATCCCACGCTGCATCGAACCCCTCACTGATCAACACGGAAACCCGGCCATGTACATAGAGCTTTGTCCCCGCTATCGACGGATAAAAGCAAAAGACAGAGGATAAAATGCGTGGTCCTGGTGCCGTGGCCCGGAGGTGACATGCATGAGCTACGGGTAAGCTATGAGCTCAGTTTCAATATATATTCCTTCCTCACCCTTTGTTGTATCTCTGGCACTCAATGAATCCTGGCAGTTAACCTCAAGCTACACCATTCGATAAAACACAATGGCACCTAACCCACCCCTTTGTCTTGGATATAATGGGATACATCCCTTTTCCAAGGTTGAGATTAAGGATCGCACATCTGTTCAAGAGCTCCTTCGCACTGTCCTTGATCCTCTAGAGCCGTTCTTCTCCCCCCAAAAGGCCCGTGTCAAGTGTCCCGGTGCAACAGCAGTACGGTTCGACCAGACTGCTTCAGAAGTCGAGGGAATCTGCCGTCCGCTCTGGGGCTTGGCTGCTTTACTGGCGGGGGGTGGCGATTACGAAGGCAAGGAATGGTGGATTCAGGGTATCAAGTCAGGGACTGATCCAGAAAATCCTGAATACTGGGGTTATCCTCAGGACAATGACCAAAGAATGGTTGAGATGTGTCCCCTAGGTAGGTCCTCCCATACGAAGTCTCATCATGATGGACAACTGACGACTTGTTAGGCTGGGCGTTGGCTGTTGTCCCTGAGTTTTGGAGCAGCCTTTCTGACAAGGAGAAGAGTAATGTTGAGACATGGCTAGGAAATTCTATCAATGAGAAGAAGTCAGCTCCCAACAATGTACCAGTGACTCACAGGCTAATCGTCATGCAGTATGCCCAACACTAATTGGCTATGGTTCCGTGTATTTGCCAACCTGGGGCTAAAGAAGAACGGCGGCAGATTCTCCCAAGAAAGGCTTGACAGTGATATTGAGCACCTCGAAACGTTCTATCGGGGAGGGGGCTGGTCTAACGATGGACCAGAAGGCATCCACCGTAAGTTTGATGTCGTAATCTCTTAGCCCTGACTGACACGCGCCAGAAATGGACTATTACTCGTCAAGTTTCGCAATTCAGCTACTTCAGCTATTGTACGCCAAGTTAGCAGGGGAAGAGGACCCAAAGCGGGCAGAAGAATTCAAGAGGCGGGCACAACAGATCGCTCTGGATTTAATCCATTACTTTGACGATGAAGGCAGAGCCATTCCTTATGGGCGAAGCGTAGGCTACCGTTTTGCCATGGTTTCTTTCTGGGGAGCCCTGGCCCATGCCGATGTTGAGTTGCCTGCGCCGCTGACCTGGGGCATGGTGAAGGGAGTTGTGTTTCGTCACCTGCGTTGGTGGCAGACCCAAGGAGATATTTGGACATCAAGTGGCACACTGTCGATTGGGTATTCTTACCCAAATATGTATGTAAGTATTGTTCCTTCCTGGTTATACTGTTGGCGACAACTAACGAGGTGGAATTAGATGGCGGAGAACTATAACAGCCCCGGAAGTCCCGTAAGAGTCACACAATTGACACCTTATGACATGTTTGCTAATGAGAACTCCTAGTACTGGGCATGCCTGGCATTTATGTGCCTGGCAACACCAGAAGATCACCCTTTCTGGACATCCGACGAAGAGTCAACTAGTGGTGCAATCCCCAAGACGAAAGCTCTGAACCAACCGGGTCATATTATGAGGTTGGATACTACCTTACATGTACATTCATGTGATACTGACGTTAGTGCAGTTACCTTGGCGGCCACTGCATGCTTCTGTCGTCAGGACAAGCTTGCAGCTACCCAATGAAAGGAACCCATGCCAAATACGGCGGGTTTGCTTACAGCAGTGCATACGGATATTCGATACCCCCTGGTCTCTTTTCTCTGGAGCAGTATGCACTGGCATCGCAACTCGGGCTCTCGGATGATGGGGGCGAGTACTGGAAGACCCGAAGGCTTTGCGAGTCTGCGGGGATCGAGGACCGTGAAGGCACCCCAGTTCTTGTCTCGATTTGGAAGCCTTTTCCAGATGTCACAATTCGCACCATCTTAATACCTTCACAAGAAGAAACCCCCAACTGGCATCTTCGAGTTCATCATATCAAGAGTGGCCGTGAGGTCATGACGGCGGATGGCTCCTTTGCTATTTCCAATGTCAACTCAACTAACGGACGATATCTTGGACCGTACGATGAAACAAAACACGAGGGAACATCTCCTAAGATCATTGGCAATTACGATCTTAAGACACCAGATGGTTGGGCAAGCGGAAAGTCGGGGGCTTTTGCAGTATCGAAAGGCGCTGTCGGCATCAAAGCTTTGGAGCCGGCGGAGCAACGTCAGGCTATGCTGGTTAATGCGGATCCGAACTCGAACTTGGTTGAGAGCAGAAGCACAATCCCAACTCTGCAACATACTATCAAAGCTGGTGAGTCGGTCTGGTATATCTCTGCTATATATGCCAAGCCCTCGGGGGTTGGGGTGAACAAAGAAAGCTATCTCGATGGATGGGCCAAGACTCCCCCCATTCCTGGCTGGCTAGAGAGAGAGATGAATGCTTAACCCCAAAATGTTAGGACAAGAGGTAAGCTTGAGTGGAAGGAATTAGATGGAGGACACGGGATTTGAAAGATCCCATCAATCAAATCATCATATTATCTTCTCCTCATCTGAAGTCCTGCTCCCCGCTTCGTCTATGCCTGCTTTGCGGGG